CGGTTCCAATTTGTCAATTTTCGCAATCAGAGAAGGAACCAGCCTCAGACCAGACTGACAGTCCTCGCCCCTCGCAATAAAATCTAAAAAGTCTTTTACCCTTCAAGTCCATGACTTTTAGTTCAGAAGCGTTGAGATCAGAGCATTCTCTGTGGACAACTCGGTCACAGCTATCACACATCAATGTAGCAGCATCCTTACTGAGTGGCTCTTCACACTTACAACAAACCATCATAATTTTCATCAATTGTTAATTGTATGCTTGTCTTCTTTTACCTTATTGTCAGCTTGAACATTTTTAATTTCATCATTAAGAATGGGTGGTTCAAAAAAATTTCAATTTATTGGAGGGGGTATTTTGTCATTATTTCTTCTTTGTTGTCTTTTTCCAGACCCTTAGCAAAAATATGCTTTAATCTTGATACAATACCCATGTGTACTGGATTCCCTTTTTTAAAATTATAGATAGATCTTCCCCCATAAAATTGAGCAACTCGGTATCATCTGCCTCTACCACCCTGCTTGAATTCGCCGCTGTCCGTAGAGAATTTATGTTTTCATTTTCGTGTGCTTCAGCGTGTATATCCACTGATACTGGCATATTTCTAGCTGATTGTATATCTCGATCACCTAAAAAAGTGCCACAATCAAAAAAACCTGGAATAAAAAATTAAAGAGACCATTACTTAAATGTAAATAAAAGTAAATTCATCGTCACAATAAAATCAAAATCTGAAAAATACTTGTATTTAAAATTATCTACCTACTTGAAGAATTTCGTTATCGGACGAAAAATTTTCAATTTGTTTTTGCAATTTTCTCATCTTTTTAACCAATTTATCATACTTCTTTTTTTCTCTCTTAGGCATTATAAATCCCAAATTTTCAATAATTTATTTAACAATCAAATGCTTGAAGTATATTCATAGACACACGACAATACAATGATATTCTCGGGGCCGGCTATGTTATAAATTTTTAATTTTTATCTTCAAACGTGTGAATCATGGCACCAGACGATACAACTACCCAGGCAGCACACTTTGGTATAAATTACGTATTTTTTTAGGTACTACCATACGTATGAATAGGGTTGATGTACTACCAAATATATTCGTGAAAATGTCCGCCTTATAAACGTCGATTACTAAGAATTTATCTACCTATAATTAAACGTTTTTACTATACGTCTATATTAGATTTATAGTTGTAGTATATTTATACGAATTCACTTTGGTATAAAATACGTTTTTTTAAGTACTACAATATACGTATGGATACTGTTGATATGCTACCTAATATATACGTGAAAATGTCCGCCCTATAAACGTATATTTTTTTATTTTTTATACGTCTAACATTACTACTTTACCTACCTTTAATTATCCTGTTTTACTATACGTCTACCTGATATTGTTTTAAATGTATTTCAAACACAAATTAAGTAAAGTGATCAGAACAAAATTTCTAAAAGGGGCCATGGAAAAATGTTAATATTTCTTAAATTATAGTTTGAATTTTATCCCTAGCAGGTGTGTATACACCAGAAATAGGCGTTACTCGTGTTTCTATTTTGGTTGTAATTGGCCTAAATATTTAGAAAAATTTTTTGATCACTTGTTATATGTACAGAACAATATTTAATTAAAAAAAATAAACAATAAACAACTAAAAAATAAATAAATACAAAAAAATAAACACTAAAATACTGAATAACAAACTAAACGAAACTTTTCTTTAACTAACAAAAAATATATAAGAAAATAAAAATCTTAGCTTAACACTTTGGATGTGTTGTGTCCTAGACGGGCCTTAGCTAATTTAAGCTAATCATTTGGTCGGTTAAGTCGCTTGGTTCACCTCCATTCCTATAACCAAAATGTAAGGTGAAATATTTTCTAAAAGCTCCGAAGTTAAATTTGTATTATTTTCTTGGAAATTATTATAAATAATAGAATCAGATGATATATTAATGTCCAAAGCCTTATTAACGTTATCTTTATGGGAATAAAAAAAATTGATTTGATTTTAAAGCATCTTGAACATTTTGCGCTATTTTTCTATGTAGATTACGCAGAGACAGGGTTATTTTAGACATTTTATTAAATAAAAAACAACTGACCAAAAAAAAAAGGAAAATAAGTATGCTTAGAATAACTAGGTAACCTAAAAAATACGTGTAAAAATAAAAGAAACAAAAGTAAGGTTATGTTTTGAAGTTTCCATAAGCATTTAACACACTGTACGTACCTATAAAGCAGTAGTTGTTGTAAAATGCAACAATTATTAAAAGAGTAGCTAAATTAAAACATTAATAGAAACTTACCTATGCTTTTAATCAATATCGTAAAAGCCAGGACGCCAAAGCACCATGCAACAAAACGTGTACACAAATGAAAATGGACGAACCGATGAACCTGCTCCCACAAACCATTCCCTACACTGAACAATAATACTACACATACGCATGAGTAGAAATGAGAGAAGACCGTACCACTAGTACGTCATCCTCCATCCGCCATCTAAAAATAGTTCCATGTGTATGGGGAATTTGTTATAAATAATACAGGTAATATAATTAAAAAAATATGGATGTAATGTAAATAAATATATCTATAAGCTTTTAATTTAAATAAACCTAAATATATACATATTATTTACTTCTGTCTACTAGTTCATCGTAAACTGGTATTATGCGTTTAAGGTGACTTATATTTAAACGTAGATTAATATAGGTATATTAACTAGTATCGACAAACAAAAGCGTTTAATTTATCTGTTAAAAAACGTTAAGTATAAAAATGGTAGATGGTAAACGTTTAAAAAATCAACCAAGACGAAATTTAAACGGGAATTATAAACGAAGAAAACATATTGTAATATAATGTAAATGTATACGAATTTAATTTAAATAAACCTACACGTATATTTAGGCCCACTGTATATAAATAGTTCATCGCAAACTAAAAATAGTCGTATATTGTTAACTATATTTAAACGTAGAAAAATTTACAATTATATACCATAGGATGTATATAAAAAACGTATAATATATCGTTTAGAACACGGTATGCATAATAATCGTAAACTGTAAACGTATACGGAATCAACCAATACCAAAATTAAATGAGTATTACGTATAAAATACGTTAGTTATACTAATGTGTGCTGCCTGGGTACAGTATGAAATATTTGGAATACGAGGGAAGAACAATGATTTCTTTACAAACGACGTACAAGAATATAAGAATCATTGTTTTTATAAAACACACGAATACAAAAGTCACATTGCAGCGCCGTAAATTGCTCCATTGCAACTAAAACTTAACACTGTGGACCACCGTTTGCCAACTGTTTTTTTTTCTCGGGAATGTGCTCATTATGCCAGCGAACGAATTAATAAACGAAAATATTTCTGAGACATCCTATATAAGTAAGCGTTAGTATTCCTTCTTACTTTATTCGACTATCCAGGGGTAGCCTAAATAATTAATCAAAAAAAATTTAAATACATTTATTTCTTTAAAAAATAGCACAGTAAATTCATAAATATATAGTACACATCAAATTTTAAATTACAATCCATTTTAAAATGTATTTATTTCCTCACTTTTATGGAAATCGAACAACTTCAAAATACCCATTAAGAATATACATACATATAAAAATTCTTAAATACAGACAGTTAGTCTAAAAATGGCATTCAAAATAATTTAAACGATTTCTTGTTATTCTATACAATTACTTATTCTAGAAAAATATAAAATATAAGCACCTCTTTTTTAATGTTTAATTTTTTAAATTACATTAATAAATCATTCATGTGGAAGAAAAAGTATAAACATTAAACAAAAGTATTTATATTTGATCACTTTTACTAAAAGTACATGGACATGTTTTTTTAAGAAGTACTAATTAATTAAAGTATATTCTTAAATTTTAATTATAAACTATTTTCCAATAATATTCTAAATAAGTCAATCATCTCTGTTTCATACATATATAAATTGCAGGTATTACAACAATATAAAATAAGTAATGTATTTTCTTTTACTCTATTTGTTTTTCTTTAAAATATAACAGTCAGATTTTTTTAAATAAATCGTAGTTTAGTCAGTGCGTTCTTTCCGGATAATTTTCAATTTACAATAACTACTAATTTAATGAAAATATAGCGGTCATTTCATGAATTAAAATAAAAACTTAGAAGGACAGAACAGATTATGGGCCCAGGCTGGTTGTCCCCCATTGTATTCCCTAATTGAGGTTTTAAGAAGAAAACATTGTGTCGGAAAACGCAGGAATGAATAGCGGGGTTTCGTTAGCTTTTATTGAACCATTTTCCGGTAAAAATGTGGAGGTATAGTACCTTTAAATTTAAGACAAAATATTGTAATTAATGCATGAAGATTTGTGTGAAGCTATTGTAGGGACTAAAAGTGGTAATGATGAAACTACCAAGAAAATAATAGTCAATTTACAACATGAAGGTTATATGTGATATCCAGACCGATTTAAACGTTGAACAGCCAATAAAAAACATTTAAACCGGAATTTTTCAATATGTAAATAGTTCAAAATGCTAGTAATATGATGCTCCTAATTTCACACAATTTTAAACAGTTATGTGGGTTCTGCGAAACACTCTGTGTATTTACAGACAGAGGAAATTCTTTGCAGAAAATTTTTTATACTTCGACAGTTAAGCAGATTATGCATCTTTTATGATTACCCAACGAGCGTTAGTAAGACTGTCTCATCACTTTTTCTTTCTAAGAAAGAAACTGACTACCTGTTCATAGTAATATTGCGGGAAATTAAGAAACCAATAAGCAGACCAGAAGGAAATCAGGCACTTATTGCATAAGACCTAAACCGTTGACTAGACCTGCTGGTGATAATGATGGGTCTCAGCACTTCTCCTAAAGCCAGGGAAAGGGAATGTGCCTCAGTTGCTGTACCAACCACAGTCTGCAGTGGAACAAAATCTTGCCAAGTACATGATGTTTATGCATGCGATGAGTGGATACGACTCGGCGTCATCTTTATATAACCAAGGCAAGACTAAATTCTTGAAGATTCTCTCTAAATATCTAGACCTTGAAGAGATCGTTAGGAAATTCTTGGATCCGTCAGCCCAGCCTACGAAAATTGCTGCTGTTGGAGAAAACTTTTTGGTGACCCTGTACGGGGCTAACCATCTAACAACTTCCTTGAATGCGCTGCGATACAAGCAGTACGTGAAATCTGCCTTCAAGTTTTCCAGCAACATTGCATATATCCCTCTTACCGATACTGCAGCCTACCAGCATAGCTTGTGTGTATATTTACAAGTGCAGCAGTGGCTCGGAAACAGTTTGGATCCGAAGCTGTGGGGTTGAAAGTCAATCTAAAATGGTCTGATCCCACTTACCACCTTGAAACCCCCGGCTCCTGACAAACTAATGCCACACTGAGTGTGGGCATTGTGGATGCAGGTGCGCAGGTCTGTTCTGCACCCAAGTCTGCATCAACTGTGCCGATGCCTGCACCAACGTGGACGAAAGAACCGACCTCGATGAGCAAGAAGACGCCCTTCGTTTGCTGCATCACTGTCAGAGGTAGGTGAGACTTCAGAAGGTAATATATTTTATAACACACAAACTCAATGACATTGCCTGGACCATCATCGTCGATTGAAAGCCCTACGCCCGGACCTTCCACAGTACCAGCCAAACGAAGGAGAGTCATTGACATTGCTGTCAGGTATTTTTTTACATATCATCTTCACAGTATACTTCAACTTACTTGCTCTTCTTTCCAGCTGACTATATGGTCTTCCCACGATTTTTCCTCATATATATAGTGAGAAGTTATTTCTTTTATCTTGTAACTCTAAATATAATAAATAAGTAAATATTTTTTTGTAAATGGGTACTTATTACATCAATATAATACTTATAAATCAGTCAGACTTGCAATAAAAGGAGGGGTAAGAAATTTAGTGTTGGGAAGGGAGTTTGAGAGAGAGGGGGGAGTTGGTACTTTAATTTAGGGTTGGGAGGAGGGGTTTTAGAGGTGGGGGGTTCATATTGACAGCGCAGAGTTGTTATTATTGCACCCCTACATATTGGTCAAATAAGCGTTTAGAGGGAAAATGGAGAAATGATTAGTACATGCGTATATGCTTATCCAAATGTAAAATTTTGGTGCTCACTGAACGCAAAATTTGTTGCTTTGCAACTTTTGTTCTACGAGTTTTTCACGTAGAATGGCTGTTTTTACATCACATATCTCTAAAAGTAAGTTTCTTGCAGTTTTCACAAAAGTTGCTAAAAATTGGCTTTTTTCGACTGACGATAGCGACCTTATAAATCGGTCTAATTTTATGCTCTTTTACTTTGAATAGAACGACATCGTTTCCATGATAAGAGCAAAAAAACAGAAACACTCCGAAAATTTCGAGTATTTTTCATTTTTCGACCTGAAGCGGCACTGCTACGAGGCAGAAAATATCAGATTCGTGTTTAGCACTCCAAAAAACATATAATTCCGTTGAGAAACTTTCTACCGCTTTCATGTTACCGAAAAACTACCATTTGATCAGGCTAAAGTTATTCTTGAATTCGACGAAATAGAAAATCGGTTTCATATCTTTACCTGCAGCGTACATAATTTGTATTTCTATCTTATTAGTCCTTAAAAATTTCTACTTCTCGAGATTCAAGAATATATAGAATGGAAGATTGATTAATAAGACTTCATTAAGTCAGTTTAAGCTTCTTTAAGGGATATTGTTCAAATAATGCTAATAAAGCTAAACAAATATAAAATATAAATGGCATTAGTACTCCCTGAGAATAATCGCCATGAGCACCAAAAAAGTGTTGGTTAGGCACCTTCTGACACCCCAGGATATTCCATGTGTCTCAATATTAACAGTGTTAGCCTTTACAAGTTGGGTCGATAAAAGAGACACGTTGGTAATCGATATAAATAACTATAGTGAATCTTAAGTTCAGAAGCAGTTATATGAAAACTAGGACATCAGTATCATCAGGGCCGCCGAGAACCAGACTGGGCCCCAGGACAGCTCTCCAGATCGGGGCCTGCGACAATTTTATAAAACATTAAATAAACATCAAACAAAAATTTCTCATTCTCCTTCTTTACGCAAAAATTTCTCCTCCTCTGCTTGAATTTCTCTAAAAAAAAACAAGTCCTCAAGCAAAAATTTCTCTCTTCCTCTATGGCCCTTAAGCTAAAATTGCTTGAGTTCCTCTAAAAAAGGTCCCCAGGCCACAAATTGCTGTCTCTCCTCCTCCACTTGAATTCCTCTAAAAAAAAGGTACTTAAGCAAAAATTTCTCTCCTCCTCTACTTAAATTTCTCTAAAAAAAAAGGCCCTTAAGCTAAAAACACCACCGCTGCTGCCGGGCCCCCTTTATACCGCTGCCGGGATCCCATTTGAGCCCGGGCCCCGGGAATTAGTCCCGGCTACCCCCCTCTAGTCGGCCCTGAGTATCATATCGAGGTTCGACGCCTTCTAATTAGTTGAGGTAGCTTTTACCAACCAGGCACTCACACTTTTAGCCTTCAATCTGTCTTACTCTGAAAAAATAAGTTTAGCAATACTTTCTTGATAGAAAAAAAATTAAATATAAATAATTACGAACATGTTATCTCCTTCCCATTTTTATTCTCGCTATTTTATTATAGATCCTTAACTGCAGCAACATACATTTTTATGTAGTTTTATTTGATTTTTCGAAAATTAATTTATTACGTATTTAATAAAGGGTGTTTTTTTAGAGGTATAGAACTTTGCAATGAAATAAAACACATAAAAATCCTGTTAACGGCCATGGTATTGGCTTTATTGGAAAGTTGATGATATGCCATTAATGCTTAAATAAGATCTCGGGCATATGGGCGCCGCGGCTGGCTCGAATAAAGCGCAATCTTGAAGTCCAATTGTTGACCACTCTTTCGAGCAACTGGGGCCGTATATCGGCAATAACGCGGCGAATATTGGCTTCCAAATGGTCCAACGTCGGTGTTTTATCGGCGTAAACTAGCGACTTCACGTATCCCTACAGAAAATAATCCATAGGTCCATTACGTGAAATTATGCGGTCATCGAAGGTTTCCCGCAATAAATTTATTGTGTCACGCGCTGTGTGGCATGTGGCACCATCTTGTTGAAACCAAAGCTCTTCCACATTAATGCCATTCAACCAAGGAAAAAAAAAGTCCGTAATCATCTGGCCGGCATCATCTTTGAAAAAATATGGGCCAATGATCCCACCAGCTCATAAAGCACACCAAACCGTCAGTTGTTCTGGATGTAACGGCGTCTCAATATGGGCTTCTGGATTTGTTTAACTCCACATCCGGCAATTTTGCTTATTTACGTACCCATTCAGCCAAAAATGAGCCTCATCGCTAAACAAATTTTTTTGGTGAAAAAGAGGATCAATAACAATCTGGTTTTCTGTCCATTCGCCGAACGTACGACGCACATGATGGTCACGCGGCTTCAATTCTTGCGCGAGCTGGATCTTATAAGCTCGCAAACCAAGATCTTTCCGCAAAATCTTCCATAGGGTGGATGGACACAGCTCTAATTGCTGGGCACGATGGCGAATCGATTCATTCGGGTTCTCCTCAACACTACGCTCAACATCAGTAACAACTTCTTCGGTGCGCACTGTACGACGTCTCTGAGGATGCACATTATCATGTAACGTATGTTATGTTGAGAATGGGGTGTTAATACACTGCGACCTAAAAGATCTGTTGTGCCCCCTTGTGTCACCACTGCACTAAAGAAATGTCTCAATGCCTATAGCGACCCTTCTTCCAATCCTATTTTCTCAAGGAAGTGTAGGATTTGAAGTGGCTTCAAGTTAGGTAAATCTCCCTCTTCTATTTGATATCCTCCTAGAAATAGTGCCCTTGGATTCTGGAGTGCTACACATTCAGTATCATGTAGAGTATGCTTGGTGCGAAAACGATTTATGGTTATTCGAATAACTTGCTCCGATGGACGATTATGTCGACCGTAAAATGGACGTAGCGCACGATAAGTTTCGCGAACCCTCCTGATTGTCCTCGTGAAAAGAAGCTCGAAAGACGAATTCAAAACTTGGAAGGACAGAATTAAGTCAATAATATTAAATTAAGCAAATTTCAGCAAACCGTATGGAGACAACGGAAAGTCATCAAATCTTTAAAGAGAATAATGCTGAAACTCAAGAAAAAAATTTGATCATCGAGGAAGAAGAAAATGTTGTTTTGGAAAATTTTGGAAATAATAAATAAATTGTTAAAAGACTATTTAGGAAAACCTTAGGCAAGACTGTATCTAAGACATTCATCAAAATTGAGATCTTTTACAATTACAGTACATTTTATTTTCATTAATCCAATATCTTCAAACAAAAAATAATTGACTAGTCAAAAATTATTAAAAATCATGTTAAATTGAAAAATCCTGAAATATAATTATTCACTTTTAAAAGGACGTTATTTTACTGAATTTTTAATCTAATAAAAATATTATATTTTTAAACAATATAAATACGATACACCACTGGTAAATACTAATGTCAAGTAGTCATCTTGGATAACCATCCCGCTAAAATGACCTTGGCGTAACCATCCTTCCTTAATACTTTATATTCTAAGATATGAATGGATAGAGAATCGCGAAAAACGAAAAAAAAAAAAACTTTTTTCCACGTCTCCTACTCCCCCTTCTTACTCTGCCATGCCTAAATGATAAGGGATAGAAGAAACTAAAACCGGGGTGTAGATTTCACCTGAAACGATTTCAAGGCGCACAACTTTCCTTTCCCTTCATCGCTTCCCATTACTCCCCATACCCTTAGATTATATAAACGTTAGATGGAACATAAGACACTGCGCATAATACCATTTCGAAATTATTTACACCCACAAATTTCAGTTGAGAACATCACATGTCAGAGCTTTGTCCATCCAAATTTAATGTGCCAATGAGAATTAATTTGGTATTTTAGTGACTTAAATTTTGGAAAGTAACGTTGAAAATGCCAATATGTGTTGTAAAAAGCTTTATTTATAATAAAAGTGCGAAAAGTGACGGAGATAAAAGAAACTTACATTTATTTCGGTGAGTTATTTAATTTTTAAGGATTCTGTCGACGGCCATATTTGTTGATTTAAAAATAAACAGAATCGGACTTGGTCATTGGTACATGTTATAAGTAGCAAATAAAGGTTATTATTATAAACTGTTTACTATTTCTTGTTTCATGGGGAATCTTTTTTCAGGAAGTGGAAAGAGTAACATACAATCAAATACAAACATATCAATTTCATTGTCAATTTATTCGTTTCAAACTTCACAACTGGTTTCAATAGTTTTTTCAAAACTATTTATTTACTATTTCTCTTTAACAGTGATACTCAAAGTGTGCTCCGCAAAGCCTTTGTGATGGTTCCGCGAAGAAAATAAAAGAAAACAGTACTATCGCCACAAAATGGAGGGACCTGGCTTGAGGACCTTTTTTTTTGAGAAGAAATTTTTTTAAGTCACTATGAGGAAGGAGGATATGATTTTGCTTGAGGACTTTATTTTTATTTTATTTTTTATGGGTGAAATGGATTTGGGATAATTCTTACAAGGAATATTTTGAATTAATCAAAAATAAATTAACAACAAATGATGTTTTTGGGCATTTTCAGCCTGAGTTGCCGATTAAATTAATCGTAGATGCATCAAATGTGGGATATGTTTTTGAAAAAAATATTGAGAAATCTATAGTTTCTACTTCGCGTACCTTATCAAAGTCCGAACAAAAATATTCCCAAATTGAAAGAGAGGGCTTTACAATAATTTTTGGCCTAAATAAATTTAATAAATATTTATATGGACATTTCTTTATCCTAGTTACAGATCACGTACCTCTGGTAACTATTTTTAACCCAGCTAAAGGTATACCCCAATTTTCAGCCAACAGACTACGTAGAAAAATAGAAAAATCGAAAAAAGGCAATAAATAGTGACATTTCACATTGAAAATATGACATAACGTTTAACAACAAAAAAGAAAAGCTGTAAATTGCGTTTTATTTTTAAATAATTGAACAACGTTATTGAAAACTGCCCAGAAAAGTTGAGGGTAAAATTTTGACGTACTCCTTTAAGGATAATGGGTATAAACGTTTTTTTTTAATTCCCCGCGGGTAATGTCAAAAATCAGATCGGCAACGCTGCACAGGTCCCTTATTTTTTTAGAAACATGCAAATGCATATATATGTTTTCCTCAAATTTTCAATAATTTAAATGTCAATAACAAAGTTTTTTATATTTGTCATGAAAAATTATTTTTCAGCTAGTTTTTACATTTTTTTGCCATATTTAATAAACAAACTTTATATTGGAAGCAATTCTTTACACTCGTTAAATAGTGAAAAAAAAAAAACACAGAGAGTGATACATTTAAAAACATCGACATTTCACAGTGTTTAAAATCGGCAACAAAGTTTTAAACCCTTTATTTTCACCTATTTATTTTCACCTATTTATTTTCACCTATTTATTTTCACCTATTTTTTATAATAGAGATGAGATATTGGACTCGTATTAATGGGCAACCCTGTACTTATACAACAGTAAAAGTATAGTTTAAAAATAAATAAATAAATAAATTCTAAAAACGAACCAATCAGTTTTTTAAACACTTAGCATTATTGATAAACACATAATGTAATTTAATACAAAAATAATTATATTAATATTTTTTTTCTGACATGACACATAACATACAACTATTAGGCATCCCAAACTGAATGGCTACCAGTGGGTTCTGACGGGTTATGATATGGCAAAATTATGGCAACCCTGTAGGCCTGGTGATTTGACAAGGTCAATGAAATAGATAGTTACATAGATTGATCATCCATATTTTTCAAAATAAACATAAGCTTATGCCTTGAAGTAAAAATGTAAGCAATTATTTTTTTTAAATATCTAAAGGCTAATAATTGGTTTTAAAACACATTTTTGCTAAACCGATTCAAATTAATAAATATTTACCAGGTAATATGGCCGCTCGTAAACGACCAGCTTTGAGCAATCTATATAACTATATATGTAACATTGACCCTGTTAATGACAACTTGACAACAGGGTTGCCATATCTAAACTGTCATTACCCACTGGTAGCCATTTGGACAGGTCGTTGGAATGCCTAATTATAGAAAAATATGTAGGAATACCAACATGCACACTATCCTTATTTTAGTTTGACAAAGACATTAATTTAGGCATTACATACCTGTAGTAGATTATTTTAATAAATATATACATTTTGATTGAAAGTAGGAAATTTTATAATAAAAATAACTATAAGTTAAAGTTAAAATTTATGATCTGTTATGTCGATTTTTTTTACCGTTATAAACAATGGTTTTAATTAAATTCTTAACGATATTGGAATCGGACGGATTTTAAAAATTCAAGTATAAAACCACAAATTATTGTTAACGTTGAATTAAATAAAATGTACGAAAAAAATTAAACATGCGTTCCATCCAATGAATGAACTTTGTTAAGTTTATCTCTGTTGATGGCATTTTCTATTTGTATTTTTGTTTCTCTTCTGGATAGAGGTGATTTTAGGGAGAATTTAGACTCTCTTTTAGGAAGGTGCTTCGGTGAGTGTACCGGTATTATTGCTGAATTTTTCATCTAAAAAAGAAAAAAAAAGTATAGATATCCAGTAAACTAGATTACCTAGTGGACTCGTCTTTTATTCTGATACACCAAATCGGTCGTGCTACTAGGCAAAATTTATAGTTTAACACCGGATCACAACTGTAACCCTTGGAGGGGCTAGATTGATTTCCTGAGTACAATTAGGCATTCCAACGACCTGTCAAAATGCTGCTAGTGGGAAATGACAGTTTAGATATGGCAACCCTGTGAGCCTGTTGTCATTAACAGGGCCAATGATATATATATATATATATATATATATATATATATATATATATATATATATATATATATAGTTATATAGATTGCTTAAAGCAAAAATGTATTTTAAAACCAGTTTCCAGCCTTTGAATTTATTAAAAAAAAATAATTACCTACATTTTCACTTCAAGGCATAAGCTTATGTTTATTTTTAAAAATATGGATGCTCAATTTATATAACTATCTACCCTGTCAAATCACCAGGCCCACAGTGTTGCCATATCATAACCTATCATGTGCCTGTCAGTGGCCTATCATTACCTACAGGCAACCATTTTGTTTGAAATGCCTAATAACTTAAGCGTTACTATAGTTTATTTGAAAATGAATAATAATTTTATGACCCAGAATATAAACCCCAATACAACATCTTAAATTAGTGACAGAGAATTTCTAAAATAAAATGTTTAACACTATTTGTTCCAACATAACATTTTTGGTTTTCTTCCTAATATTTTTAAAAATATCAATTTATTTCAATTCTTGTTTTAAATTTTCTAGTCATTTTAATCAACAAAAATAAGGTAAGTATGTAATCTCTACAATCTTTTCAACTTTCTTAGAATGGATTAAAATTTCTATTCGGCAAAAAGTGTTATGCAGATTATAAATTATTTTCGTCAAGATTTACATTTCTCTCTGTATAGTCCTGTGATTGTAATACGCAGAATTGTTAGTTCTGTAATAATAGACGCTCTTGTACATGAACATTTAAATAGTACTGTTCGGAGTATAGTTTCTAAGTGTTCAAATATGACCGGAGTTAGAAAAGCAACCATTTATAGACTTTTGAAGCAACAAAAGGATGGAAGTATTACAGTAGCACCTAAAACGTACACTGGGAGAAAACCCATTCAAACAGACGAACTGTGAAAGAACTGATCCAAAGTAAATTGTGGGCATTTTATTAAAAGAAAAGAAACCTACTTCCCCTACTAAATATTTTGGCTCAATCAAAGTAGATATCTTAAATTGATTATTGTTATAAAAAGTAGAAATAATATTAAATATAATAAAGAAATTAAAAAAATAATTTAATTTAATAATTTGATTTAAAAATTGAAATTTTGGGTTTATATGTATAAAAAATTGTAGATTTTAACTGCTTTTTTTTTAAGTTCTAACTTGATTTTTTGGGGATGCCACACCTTCCATCTCCCTCTAGGGGATGGTGGTGGTAAGATATTTATACAAAAATGTTGCAAATCAATTCTATTGTAAATATGCCAAAAATAAGATTTTTATGTCGTACGTAACTATTTTTAAATGCCAGCCCCCACATCCGAACTATGAAGATTAAAGTCGAAATTTTTTTTAAGTTCAAAAAAAATTTGGAAAATTTTTTTCAAAAAAATTGGAATTTTGTGTTTTTATGTATAAAAAATCGTAGACTTCAACTGTTTTATTTAAAAAAATCTAACTTAATTTTTTTGGAATGCCACCCTCACCATATCAGATAGGGGTGGGGAGGGATGAATTTTTTAAAGCGATTTTTATTTTTATGGGATAATACATCCATACACCAAGTTTAGTTTCAATATTTCGACCCTATCCCCCAAAGCCGAACCCCAACCAATAATCCTTATATAACCCATTGTGTTTACTTCAATATTAAGAATTCATTTATATTATTTACCAACTATCTTAAGGGTTTTTTTATTACATTGTTACGCACCAGATTAAGGAGGTCCTTTCGCCACACCTCTCGCCTCCAATGTTAAAAAAAAGTTATTAGTTTATGACTAAAATTAATTTTTTTCTAATAGTTGAAGTCCTTATTTATCTAATACTGAACTTTTAACTATACCTTACCTTGATAATTTTTGAGAATTTTTTTTTAAATGTGAGTATTTGTACAGTGCCTCACGAGAAAGTAAGTCCTCAACAACAATTCTCGAATTATACTATTATTTATTGACTAGATGGAGTAGAAAAAAACTAAAAATAAGGTTTTTGAAATATTTCAAAAACCTTATTTTTAGTTTTTTTCTACTCCATCTAATCAATAAATAATAGTAACATTAATTATAATTCGAAAATTGTTGTTGAAGTCTTACTTTCTCGTAAGACACTGTACAAACACACACATTTTTAAAAAAAAATTCTCAAAAATTTGCACGGTAAGGTATAGTTAAAAGTTCACTATTAGATAGATAAGGACATCTACTATTAGAAAAAAATTAATTTTAGTCATAATCTAATATTTTTTATTTAACATTGGTGGCGAAAGGACCTACTTAAAGAAATAACCTGTTGTTTATAATTACTTATGCTAAGTACTTAGGTATTTAAATTAAAAATACACTTAAGAAATGTATTATTATTGCTATTATTAATATTATATAATTTATTTTAAATTAATTCGGATAAAACATGTAAAGGAAACGAAAAACAAAAGCATATTCTCTATTTTATTAATTTCAAAACAGTTATAAATACACAAATTTTTTTTAAGAACTCGTCCTTTATTAACAGTAAAATAATTCAGTAATGGGGTCTATTCTGTAATAATTCCTTTATATTTAACGGCCTTTAAAAATATTGGCGGCCTTTAAAATATTTTCGTATTCGTTAATTTACTTCTGTCATTACTTAAACAGATTTCTTTAATGTATTTTAAAGATCCGTTTAAATAATGACAGAAGTAAAGAAGAAAATATTTTTAAAGGCCGTTAAATATAAAGGAATAGACCCCTATAAAACATAAACACAACTCATTCACAATACCTACTACCCGTAAACGCACTAACGCACAATAACAAACATTAGATAGAAAATAGTCCAAACATTCAATCAGGAGTGTATAAAATTTCAACCAAGAGCTAAAAATAGAAATCGGTCTCAGCCATTCTTAAAAATTTCTGCTGGACCCTCAACTCCGCCCACTGCAAAGGAATATCGACTTATCCATATTCACTAGCGCCATCTATTGGTAGTATCCATTTCGCTCCAATGAAACTTCCATAAGGTGAGACTACTATTTAGTTCTTTATACAATGATTGAACTAATCTGGGGTCAAATGATATGTCGCGAGAAACAATGTAACATTTAAACTTCAAGATATTCGTGAACTATTATGTAACTCCATATTAATAATTTCTGGAAATTCTGGAAATTTGATATGTTAATAGAGGAAACAATAGAACCAATTATTATTTCTGTGGGACGTAAGAAAACTGATGATGATGACTCCTTATCCGGAGAAAACTACTTTATTTAGGTATGAAACTCTATATTTATATTTATTATATTAAGTTTTTATGACGCTATAGTACCCGAAATTGAAACAAACAAATTTATATGAGATCCCCTCGTATTTTTAAGAGAAAATATCTTTTTGCAAAGATTTTTTTTAGTATATCATATAAATTTGGTTGTGTGTATATTTATTATTAAATTTTAAGGAAATGTCCTAACCTAATATATAGTATATTATATTTATAAAAATAATTGTGGGTAAATATTGACAGTTTACTATTTTTTGTATTTTGTATTCCCCGTCACTGAGGTATAGAATTATTAGTTAATCGCTTAGGATTTACTCATTTACATTTTATGATGTATTGTATTAGATGTTTTTCGGGATGGCCATACTAAAATCTAGTGAAAATTCAGATAAGAAAGTATCAATATTTTCTTTTTTTCTGCCTTGAACAATCCTGTATATAGACCTTTGCCATAAAAACTGTGCTATCATGCATTTTCAAATAAACTATAGCCGCAAATTTAGTACGAACCAGTCACATATTAACTGCAAGTTGTAAATCTGATTAAAAATAAAGCAGGAAAACTTGTTCAATTATTGATAGTAAAACGTGGGATTTATTTTGGATGTATGTGCTACAAAAATAAAGAGAAGCTCAATACTGCAAAAAGTGAAATTATAGAACCGTCAGATAATTTCAATATACAGGGTCGGGCCACTAAAAATTTTCCACTCAGGTTTGTATTGAAGCAAAAAATAAAAGAAAACACGCTTAGACTGGTCGATGTTAGTTTAGAGAGGGACACTATTTTTTTTAATTGCAGTATCGGCACTTCAACCCTAGAGCGTTTTGCTGAAAGGTGTATCGTATGACACCAAAAATGTTTACCGAATTTAGTAATATTATACTGAGAAATAATAAAAAAATTAAAGCCATTAATAATTTTTGAATTTTCAACTTTAACACTCTGTATTTAGAAATTGGTAATATTTTATGGAAGCATGTTTCGTTTAATTAGAGAATCTTTAGTTGTTCTGTATCCCATTTTAATGAGTCAACCTGTATAAATTAGAATTGTATTTAGTACAAATAAATCGAGTGACTTAGTGAAAATAAACTAAAAAACAAACTGTTTAAATAAATAAACGTTACAATAATATTTAAACTAACTATTCAGTATTGGCCATCGAACATCTTCCAATACTCCTTGCATAAGTGCGTGTGAAAACTTGCCAGAACTAGGGCAAGCCTATACTACCTGGGTAACGTTTCAACGCGGTCGGTTCGTATAAATGTCAACGCTTACATAACTCTTTTTCCGCTCGCTCCAATGCTTACTCTCTATATATTTCAAACGCCCTTGTGCATCGCGTATTATAAGAAGTTCAGTGGTCGACACCGTATACCATTCTCAAAAGAAGAATATCACTGCCTCACTGTCACAACTTTCTGTTTCAGTTCATCAGAGTAAATTACGAGTTCTCTAATTAGCTGTTTTAGTTTTTAGAAATTACCTTAATATTTTCGCTAATTATTTCTCCTATAATATCGTCCTTTGCCACGGATATCTGCCGTTCCAATCTATTTGTCTTGTTTGACGGCGAACCACCTTTTGTTCTATTTACAATTGGTTCTGATAGCAGTCTTGGTACTGATTTAAAAATGGGTCCCTCATGATTAGCTGCCGTCACAGGGGTATGCGGGGCTGACTGGGAAACAGCCATTTTGTTTATTGTATTTGAAGTAACATCTCTTTCAATGGATTTCATCGATTTCATATTTTCCAAATAGATACCGGAACCTGAAAGCTGTCTCATATTGGGCTGGGATCTGAAACAAAAGTACCTAAATTAACTGTTTGAATTAATGTTTATAAAGAACTTTAATGGAATGTTAAAATGTTATTTTGACATTATTACCTATCAAAAAACCGTTAGGTAAATAAACAAATAAAAAATTAGTAATTTTAATTTAGATATCAGGTCATAAGAAAATCCGTTCATGTTTTTTAAATATCTTTCATTTAGTGTAATTATTATAACTTTAGTATGTGATCCATTAAATTTTGTTTCAACCAGAAAAATTAAACAGCCTTGATCATGGTTTAATAAATAACCAAAGTGAAGGCAATATTTTATTGTGCTGGTTTTCTTTAATATAATAACTCATTCAAATAAATCCTAGCATACCAAATTAAAAAGATAGTCTTTATTTGCATCTTTTCTATGTAAAAACCTTAATATACAGGGTGAGTCTTACCCCAATTTGCTTGAAGACTTGATCTACCCTCGCATTGTTGAAAAAGACGACAGATCCCTGAAAATTATGTACTTTTTCAACAGGATGGCGCGCCTCATCACACTATGCAGATCCTGTACGTGACTTTTTTAATCAAAATTTTTTCCCAACACTGGATTGGTAGAAGGGGTTTCATTGAATCACCATTGAACTTTTTCTTTTGGGGTTATCGAAGTAAATGGGTCGCAATTTGAACATTTAATTACTTTAAACTTGTTTGGAAACTTTTTTTTCGATTTATTTCACCGACACTCTCAAACAGGTGTTTTACATTAAATTTAACAAAGAAAAAAAATTACAGCATGTTTGAAAAGATAATTAAAATACCTTTAAAATGATGTGCCACTTGACCCCTCGTGCCATTTAGTATTCTTAAAGAGGTTCAGGGGGATGAACTTACATCCATGAATTAAAGATCAAAAGAAGCTCCCCTTGAAATCAAGTCGACCGTACTCGGGGAACTTTCTAAAAATCAAACTGAATTGAATACAGAGCGATACCCTGAGTCGCTAAGCAATTTACGCGTATGCGACTTTTTAAATGTAGCCCACTCTGATTAAGTATAATGTGTTTGAAATATTTTCTTGCTGCTTAGTCGTCCGTAATTATTTATCCATAGAAATATATATCTGCTCTCAAACGACCATGTTTAGCATCATTTCTAACTTTGTAGTGAAAAATACTAAAATGTTACAAGATGTTTAACACTTACCTTGCATGCATATGTTTGTGATTAGCTCTTGTAGTATTTCGTCTTACTGGGTAGCCTCCGGATTTATGCGTTATCCTCATTGAACTATAATTTATAATTTTTCTTTCTCCTTTTTGTTGCGTTCTAGCTCTACCCAACACAGCACTTCCAGCTTAAAAGAGTATCAAAGGTATTAAAATCTACGCAACAATAATTTTCTTAAGAGGAAACCGGATCTCTCGCGAAAGCAAAAATGTTTTAAGGATTTTCTAATATACAATTGTATTTATATGCGTGCCATTGGGAATACTTGTGTCTTGACAATATTGAGGGCTTTAAATTTGTGCAACGATAAGGCAGCACTCTACAGAGGCGTTTAAGAAAAAAAAAAGGTAGGAAAGCATTCCATTTAAAAACTACTAGATATTTATTAAAACAAAAAGCAGTAAATTTTTATAGATTTAATACAGAATGGCGCGTAAATGTTTTTTTGAAATTATTTCTAAAATTTTTTAAAATAAATACAAAAAATTCAAGCTTTGTCCAACCTAAGTTTTGTTATTATTGGTATTTCCTAAAAATTTCACAAAAATCGGACTAAAAATAAAGACTCAGAATGAATTATAAATTTTCGAGGTGTCCGGTTTGCTCTTAAGACGTTTTCATTTTATCATTCGATTTCGAAAGTTTGTAATATTTTTTTGTATCAGAATGGTGCATATCTATACTCCAACAAATTTCAAGCATAAAAGCTAAAACAAATAGTTTTTACATAACTTACGAGTATTGCCAGTGTGTTTTTTGCGGGTTTGGGCCATGGCATAAACGACAGCGGCTAAACTGCTGTAATGACTGGGTTGTCTTTGGAAACTTGGTGGCCTGTTCGGTTGTTTTCCAATTACAAAATAAGTTTCCATAAGACCTTTTCCTTTCACTTCAATTATTCCACGTTTCTTTACTTCATACCCTCTCGTTAAGAGAATCTGGAAACGTCAATTATTGTCGATTTTTATTCAACTCGTTGTTAATCCTTGTAATTTTTTTATATTTAAATAATAAATACAAAAAAGCAAGGAACAAACAATATAGAATAGTTGTAAGGTATTTTTTCTGTCAATAAATATTTCCAAATATATTTAAAAAATAGTGTTTACAATGAAAAATTTGAATAAGAAGTATAAAAGTTACTTTTTAAAATTTTTTGGATGAATACTACATAGTATCTCATTTACTTAAATGCCGGTATTTATATTTAATTTTACTATTTAATCATTACATAAATATTGTACAAACTTGTGCAGTTTCTTTTGGAACCTGTATGGTACCAATCACGCCAGTCGAGTCCATTCTTGATGCAAGATTCACTGTATCTCCCCATATATCAAAGACTGGTTTCCTAGCTCCTATAACTCCACAAACTAATGGTCCTAAACAGATACCGACTTTTAAACCAAAGTTATTGAATGACTCCTTGTTTATTTCGTCCAGCTTGTGGCGCATCATTATTGCAAAATCGACCAAAGAACAAAGGTGCTCTGGCATATCTGTATTTTTACAACACTGAAAGAGACATTAATTTCTTTAATTTATAACGTTAATGAAGAAATTAATTATAGATAAGCGAGGGTTGATCTGGGAAAGCTCGAAAAACAAATTGGGGAGGGAAGACTCTGGATTATTATAGCATACAGAAGATATTAATCATTAAAAGTGAAATCAAGTACTTATTTTTTAGCGAATTGAATATGTTTCGGCGTAACAAAAAAAGTCTATACATAATTAGGGAATCCAAACTCACAACCCCAAGAAGAAGAAAAAAAAATTAAAAAATCTGAACTGAACAAATTGTGCCCCAGCCTGGGATTGACCCTGGATCTTCATGTTTACACCTCGCTATCTCACCAATTAGGCTACCAGATAATATAGCTACAAAGACGGAATTGGCAATTGAAAGATTTCAGATTCCAAATCTAGTCGATACACATTTCTACTTTCAGTCCAGTATTTTAAATTTTTCGTTGGTTTGTTTTCAAGTTGGAGTTGTGAGAATGAATAATTACTTAAGTTCGTAAAAGGGTAAAGGGCAAAGGGTGTCCATACACGTATTTCCGAAAAAAAAAAAATGTTTCGATGGGATCGTAACCGATTTTCGCTTCCTTCTTCCTTAATAAAGTAATTAATGAAATATATATTTTATAAATAGGTCATAATAGGTCGTATGTAAGAGAATTATAACAATTAAATATAGGAAGGAAAAGAATGATTTTAAAATCAACGGAAGGGTGGGTTCGATCTTAACTTATGATTCAAACGTAAATAAATGAGATGCTAAAATTTAAATGGTATACTGAACAACATGACGTGTATAAACATAATAGAGCAAGAGCCCGTGAGAGCCAGACCTTCGGAATTTTATAAAAGCTGAGAGTTCTTCTGTGTATGTCCCCAATACAGGTAAGAATGGTCCCCGCCCATGAAACCTGAGTAGTGGTGGCTTTGGCAGGTAACAGGTAGCAAAGGTGCATAAAATTCCACCTCAAATTTATTAATTTATAAAACTCAATTTTTTTATATTTTATTCGTAATAATATTAAAACTCGCGTTGCTCATTGCCAGACACTTAATATGGTTACAAGCCTCTGCAAGACACTCCTGTACTATTATAATTTGTAACTATACTTACGTTATATTATAAAAGCTAAATTTTATATATATTATCTGGACAACTATTAAATAATGTTTCCTTAATAGCCAGACAATTTCGAGGGTTATATCGTCCTGCCAGACGTATTAAATGTGTACAATAGTTGAGTGAGAGGAGCATATGCAGCAACGGGTGTGTGTGTGTGAAATAGAGCGTGCAGTCTATTGCGATCTTTTATTTTTTTATTGCGAACAGTAAATAACTTTATATCCTTAGAGAATATTTTCAAAATTTTTTCTTCAAGATGGTGTGGTGTAAAAGTGACAGTCATGTCAATAGAATTTTCTTGGAAATTTTTTTCTAATGAATCGATATATAATTCATGTAAATAAATTAATAAAAAACAGTGTCCTTTTTTAATCACGTCTTCCTTAATGATTGTACTGATTTCATTAAAAACTATTTGGTGATATTCTCGGTGATAATGCCACTCCGTTTTGCTACGCGTTGTTTTTAATGAAGAAACAGTATTATTAAAATCAACGCGGCATTCTGTATGATAGTAAATTTTTGGACCAGAAAAATTATCCAATTTATTTAGAAAATCTTTATGCTGTTCATAATTTTCTATATTGGGTTTAATACTAGCTATCATTATTACCAGCAATATTATCAGTCGAAGTATTTACGTCCTGAGTTACAATATTATTATCACTAACATCCGATTTAAAAACACCAGAAAAATCTTGAAGAATTGAAGATTGTAGACCTATTGAGTCAGAAATTGGAGTCGGCTGAGATGTCGTGGAAGATTCTGTAGGTACAGGCTGTAAATAAGATTCATCTTGAGATGTTGACGGTTGTGCTTCTATTGACTGGGAAAATAAAATTTGTTGAGATATTGTTGAAGATTCTATTGATGAAGACTCTGTATCAGGTGGTTCTGAACTCAAATCTGGAGTCGACGATGAAGTTGGAAATGATTTGTCTGTAACAACACAACTTGCTTGTTTTTTTTTCAGTACTTATAGGTTCAGAGGTGAAGTATTTTTTCATTAGACCTGTAAATGCTTTATAACATGATCTGTGATAACCACTCTCTGTATATTCACTAGGTAAAATAACGTCTTTGTATTTAAGTTTGTGTATTTTTCTTAATTTTAGAATATTCTGACACTTTTTTAAAGTCTCCTCGGTAAATATTATTAGATCTTTGCCACTTTTTTTACAGACAAAGCAAACTACTTTTACTTCTTCTTCACTCATGATAACTTTTTATTACACTAGATCACATTTATTTTATAAATTACACAGAAAAATAATACAACGTTTAATATACGTTTGATGTACGTTTACTATGAGCATAACCGCGCACTACATAATACACAATGAGCAGCTGATGCGCAGTAAAAGATCGCAATAGACTGCACGCTCTATTTCACTCACACAAGTATGGCGGACCTTAAGTGACGCCATATTGGTATGATATATTGAGTTCGCGAACTTTGGCGACCTCCTTGCCGACATGAAACAAGAATCAAAGTGGGGCTTATGATCCAGTGGCATGGATATTAATTACACGTTTGAAAATTCACCCTCCCTAGAAGCTCCGCTTTAGGGGTGCCATACCGGGAATTCAAAGTGGGGTATAACATTGTCTATTACCTCCCAAACCATCGGCGTGGGGTTTATGATACAAGCAAAAACCCTCTTGGCTCCCGGTCTATATGTATCTGTGTTGTTAATGTTGTGTTTTGCAGTATAATTTTTTCAAATTTATTAGTTTTTGGAAGAAGTATGTGTTAAAAATGTTTTTGAATTTATATGATAGTTTAAAAAATCTGGTTAATAGGTTTGTAAAATGAGGCAGCTGGTAGAAAAGATTAAATTAACCTCTGTATAAAAGGTGGTCTTGCTTATGCTGCTGTTTCTTCCCTGCTTCGGGTCATGAAGTTATGTGCTTTTAATGAGGTCACTATTGTAGGATCTTAAATCTTAAATAAAAGAGTCGGTATAATGTAAATCGTATATTAAAGAGGGAATGATATGTTGTATATAAATATATAAGCCAAAGTTAGAATATTAATGTACAAAATCTGATTCCTGGTAACCGAGGTTGCCAACGACGTGGACTTAATCCATGACTTAATCTTTTGTCTTTTACTAGGACTGCCACGTAATGTAAGGTTATCAAATAGATGACGGATATTTGACGCATGTGACGCAATGAAAGTATAAAGAAGGTGTGAAGGAAGGTATGTAGTGTGCGTGAGGTCACTGCAAGAAGTAACTGAAAATATAAATGTCTGAGAAGAATCACGGGGTAAAACTAAATTTTACAACTTGAACTAGGAAGTCAATTTTGGAAATCAAGAAAGAGAAAGTAACACCTAAAAATTGTAAACGATATACAATAATAATTACAAATGCCAAATGGTATTTTTGTTTCATTAGAAATTTTGAGATTACATTTAAACTATAACGTGCTTATCTACTATAGTTTTTTATTATATTAAAACGCTAATTATCACTTCGTATTTTACTTACTTTTTGAGTTGGATTTAAGCCAGATGCAGCCATGTATGTTGCAGTTGCACTAACAGTTTTTATTTTTTCTATTGCACAAAAACGTTCTTCATCTAATAGTTCATCAAAATCAGCTACAATAAAACACATTTTAGATCAAATTTTACTAACTTTGTATCTAATTTATTATACCAAATACAACACAAATTAAATATTAATTTTTTATTAATTGCGTAAAATCAGCATTTTTTATCGAATTTTTGATCGAATTTAATTGAACACTGATTTTGCCACGAAATACAAAGAATATTTTGTGTACAAATGTACAAGGTTTTCCATTATATTTTGACTGCTACATTAGGTATTATAGCGAACAGAAAAAAAGTTTTAAGTAAAAGCTGTGTTGTTTAATCTGTACCGCCTAAAAATGTAGTAACTGGCAGAATTGTATATACAGGACAACAAAATACAACTTCATTTCTTTAATAGGACACCTTATAAATTTTTGACATTTTAAGTAGACTTGCATTTTCTCATTACATTTTTTTAAAATTTTTTTAAATTTCAAGTTACAATTACTCCCGATAATTTAATGACTCTTTTAAAATAGATTAAGAACTTGAAAGTAATAGTGACAATATATCTGAGATGAAAGATGTACACACATTTATTTTTGTATATTTACCAATTATTTCGTTCAACAGTCTGATGCATTCTACACCTTTATTGATGTCTTCAGAATAAAAATCTGTAAAATTTGGAATGCTACCAAAAAGGACTCCTACTTCCTCTCTGTATTGGGAATACAGTTCCTGCAATATAAATAATAGCTATTTATGCAACCAGTTACGAAATGCAGTATTTTATGTAAAGAGTGATCATTTTTGCGGGACGAGCAGAGCGAGTTACAGAAAACGGTATTTCCTAACGTGTTACATACAATTATTATTCTAATTTTGATTAGATTATTTATAAATAATTACTGACATCTGTGCACATAGTATTACTTTCTTGTATTGTAAGTTGTATATGCATAACTTCTTTCATTTCACTGTCAAATAGAAAATCATTTTAATTTATTCTCAACGACTTGTTGTAGTGTATTTATATAGCTAGTTAAAGTTATCCCATTCACGAAAGTGTCTGCACTTGCAGACACATGTGTAGGGACAGAACTGCAATTGCAGACGATTACTGGATCACTAAAAATGGCACGTATGCTATGCCAGTCGCAATCTCCATAAAAAATACATAAAGGTGGGCCCAAGTGTGTCCTTATATATCGAGTTTGTTATCAGAGAAGTGTCCCACTAAGGCATTTAATTTGAAATTGAGTCCATTGTGCTATCGTCCCTTAAATTAGGTGATGATCTGAGTAGATCAAAAATGAACCAGGTGTCCGCGAATGTGTTAATCATTTTTTAAGAAAGTGGGTTATTTTTTCGTGTACCTATTGTGTTTTGATTATTTTGTGCAGATTAAGAAAGGAAAATAAGGACCAAAACAACATTATTATTAGTATTTCCCTAAGCAATTTCTATTTATATACAGGTTGTCCCGAAATTAGACGGTCATATTTTAACAGCGTAATCTACATCTCAAAATAGAAGTAAAAGTTTTCCGAGATACAGGGTTTTAAAAGTAAAGTCCGGATGACACACTTTTGTAAATATTTTCTAAACGTTTAAAGATTACTTAGTGAAATTTGGTACAAATGCTTACCTTTTACACTCTATTTAATGGACTAAACCTTAGTTTTTGATCACTTTCATAGGTGGGAAAATTAGGTGGGCTTAGGGTAAAATTGCCCTAAGTTTTTTTTGTTGACAGTTTTTAACATTTTTGGCTATAAAATTTGAAAAACCAATGTATTCTTTATAATAAAGCTACTTTTGTTCCATCTCGCTAGGACGCACCATTTTCAAGAGAAAAGCATTTGAAAATTTCATGATAAGTTGATGTTATCTTATTCGAAAGTGTAAACAATAATTAGTAGGCCTGTGGAATCACAAATTTTATTTTTTTTAACTTTGGAAAACCGGTGACTAAGGAAATTTTAGAAAATATTTACAAAAATGTGCCATCACGATTTAACTTGTAAGACTCTGTATCTCGAAAACGAAACGTTTTCGGACTTTTGTTTATATAAACTTTTACTCTTATTTTATGATGTAGATTACGCTGTTAATATATGACTGTCTAATTTCGGGACACCCTGTATAGTCAACCTTCCCTCCTTTGATATAATTTTTTAATAATATATTGATTTTAAAACAAAAAAGGTTTATTTTTATTTGTTTTTTTTTTTGAATCTGGTGACATAATGAATTTTCGTAACCAGTTTCATAATGTTTAACTTTATGCAACTGGTTGCAATGAGACTAGGGCCACGTTAATATCTCTTTTATTTATTAAGCATTTTCGACAAAATTTTAAACAAACAGGCTAGACAATTTTAAATTGACATAAATACTTAAACAAAATGGCTCACTTCCAGTTTTGCCGGAAAGTTGAATTTTTTAAATGAATCACCCTATATATTGTTTTTGGAATCTACGGTTCAAATTAAATATGATAATGTTGTCAAATTTATAACAAGTAGAAGACAATGAACTGAAAAATAATATTCTAAGAGGTGTATGTTGCACACTGTCAGTTTGCCATATCGGATCGGTCTCACGCGTTTATATTCATTTATAGGCAAGTTTGTTGTTGAGAGATAAAGCGGCTTCGAATTCTACAGCAAACCATGTGAATTTTTAATTAAATTGCATGGTTCGTTATAGGATTTGATGTGTGCCGTATTAACAGAAATTTAATTACATTACCCCCTCCCGTGTATCCGCACCTGACCAAACCAAAAATAGAAAATCGACTTAATTAGTTTTATCAAACATCTTGGAAACCGAACGTGATGTCTTAAATTTCAAAACATCAATAAGTTGGTCCCATGATTATGAAACTTTTTTCTAAATAACTCTAGTAATTTACGAATTTACAAAAGCATTTAAATTGTCTACATCTTCTATTCTCTGTTTTATACTCAAATTATTGTCAAAAAGAGTCTTTTTTTAAGACCTATCATAAAATATACACTTTCTGAATAATTTTTCGTCCAGAAAATAAGGTTTTGTCGATCAAGACCGGAAAGTAGACGTTAGGGACTGGTAAAAGCTTTTACCGGTCCCTGATAATTTCATTTTTCCGATCGCTGTTTAATAATAGTGACAGTTCGTCGATTTTTAATTTGTTGTTTGTGTCAAACTTGTTTTTTCAAAAATTTAAAAATATGGATTCAGATTTTGAATTATCTGACAGAAAATAAAAATTTGGTTAGTTTATGCAGTTGTATTCATTATCTATTTTTAGTATTTGTTATTCACCATATTAAATAAAATAATTGAATTTACATCGAAGTGTCGGTAAAAAAAAAATATTGTACCTCACGTGACCGAGAATTAGTGTTAAGCAGGTCTCGCCAAGCTTCCAGAGCGAGCCATAGGCGAGACCTTGTCTCGACATGCAAAACACTACTTTCCGGTCTTGTAACTTAAATTACTATTATAGCGATGATAAATTCAATAATGTCTGGAATTGCAATTATGGGTACAATAACATTATTATATTTTATTGTCAAGTCCAAAGTTCAAATGACGTAAACTTCTTGCAGTTTTTGACTTCTAGTCCAGTAACTGAAGGGTCAAACCTGTAGAAAATTCGCTGATGTTTTTAAACGAGAAAATCCTTAACGCGTTCTTGGTACCGGAAGGGGCTGAAAATTGACCTCTAAAACCTGGAAAATGGGTTTCCCGCTAATATCTGACTGAATATGCTAATTAGAGAATTTTTGTTCAAACAAAAAATGAAGATGAGCTCATTATCTACAAAAGTGGCTCTTATCATTTTCATCGAAAATTCAATAGTTTTCGAGATAATGGCACTCAAAAGTTCCCTCATTTCAGCTGCTGCTCTACCTGCAGGAATTCCGCTTTCTATGAATTAACGTGTAAGCGGGCGGGTGAACTGTTCCATATCTCGGGAAAAAATGATACTTTTCGATGATTCAAAGTTCATCGCAATTGAAAAACCCGTAGCTACCATTCCATGTGACTTGAAGTCAGTTCGTATTTGCCAAAAATATTTAAAAAAGCGGTCAAAGTTTTTTTCAACAATATTTAGAGACTGCTTCAGTAATTTATTCATATTTTCTTTAAAAATAGTTATTTATTCTAATTTTGCCCTTATAATGGGACCTTGGGGGTCTTGAATGATCTCAGAAATTTTTTTGTAAGACTTTTCTTGCGTTTTAATACAAAATTGATTTGTTTATTTACATGTTTTAGCCGATTTCGGAGTTCCATAGAATCTTCGGAACAAGCGCGAATTATAATCTTATGATCCGTTATATTGATTTCCAATGCACATCATTTTAAAGCTTAGATGGTCTACTTTTCGAATATATTTTTTTTTATTTTTTAATAGAGTAATAATTTTCAAGAAATGAGGAAAATTGATCACACGAGAGAAAACCGGCCTTTTTTTGTTTAACCATTTCTTGTTCCCCGCTCTTTATTTTTTGAGGATTAATAACTAGATCAAAGTAAATCTTGTACTCTGACCTTTCCATTGATATAAGTCAATCCCCTTATCCGTTCTTGGTTCTAAAAAGGTTGTTACAATTATATACTTCATTTTTACGCTCCCCTTTTGAAGATCCATGATATTGTATATAACCTAACTTCGTGTACCCACGCGGCGATAGTTGTCTGCATGTGTTTGTATACAATCTCTGTTTTGGAGTCGTCGGCTTGACCAGATTATTGATGTACTGATGATTTTTTCATTATTTATTTTGAATTATTTATTTAAATTGAAATAAATATTTTTCATTAAATTAATTCAGTTATAAAAAAAGAAGTGTTTAAAGTGAGAAATTACCACGTTATTCTTGTTTACAAGAAAGAATATTCAAGGATTTTTTTGTTGGAAGCAGAAAATAAGGTTTGTTTTATTTTGCTTCAACTTTCAGCTTTTCAGAGTTTAGGGGTCCATTTTCAGCCCCTTCCGGTACTAAGAACGCGTTAAGGATTTTCTCATTTAAATACACCTACGATGACCTACAAATTGAGCTACGTGGGAACTCATCAGCGATTTTTTTACAGCTTTCGATCTTTTCAGTCCTTCATTTATTGGACTATTCGTTTTGATGAAAATACTTAAAAAATTAAGAGTTTGATGATTTTCTCATCGACTTCATTATTAGATCTTGACCAAGTTTAAATGGGACCACCCCTGAGGTGCCCCTTTCTAACAAAGAATTATATAAATCGGACAACGTAGTAAAGAATTATCGCTGAACATACTTAAAAAATATATTCCGACGAATTGAGAACCTTCCCATTTTTTGAAGTCGGTTAATTATTCTCAAATCCCACAGACTTTTAGACACAAGTTTTTTAAATATGTAAATATTAAATATGTATGATTTTTGAAAGTTTTGTACTAAGAGTGGAAAAATAAAATTATTCAGTTAAATAAATGCTACTTAATAAATAACGATTACAAACGTAGAACTATGATTCCAAAAATTATTAAAACCTATTGATAAAATTTTTACCTCACTATTTCTATCACTGGAAAGAAAATGAAGAGCCACATGATCAGGTAATATGTTCTTCAAAAGTTGTGCGTTATTTTGCCTTGTTAAATAACTGCTACTTAATAAATAACGATTACAAACGTAGAACTATGATTCCAAAAATTATTAAAACTTATTGATAACATTTTTACCTCACTATTTCTATCACTGGAAAGAAAATGAAGAGCCACATGATCAGGTAATATGTTCTTCAAAAGTTGTGCGTTATTTTGCCTTGTTTCTTGCATATCGTTTAATTCACTTTCGGCTTGTTGTTTCCATAAAAAATCCAATCTGGATGTCACTTCGACCAGTCGCGCGTGGTATGCTACCATCAGGACAAAGACGTTTAAAAGAATCATCATTTGTGCTGAGAGAGGGATGTGCATTCTAAAAATTCAGAAATTATTATTATTTAAAAAAAGTAATTGTTCGTGTAAAATAAAGACAAATTGCGAAATTACCACAAATAAAAGAATAATTTATGTTAACACCATCATTCTTTCAAATTAGTGAATTATTGAACAACCAACTACATCATAAACTTAAGTAGACCATAGTAATGTAATGTATTTAGTGTTAAGACACTGCAATCTAGAAGATCTATTGTGCCCCTTCTGTCGCTGTAGAAGCAAGGAAATAGTCTCGACGTATGTAATGACCCTTCTAGTCCTACCCTAGTCCATTCCATGGTGCATATCTATTTTATATCCATGAGATGTAATTTATAGACATGCAAATGTCCATAAATAATAGTAATTATATAACAAATTATTAAAAAATTACGCCATTGTGGCTAATAGTACCGTTTAGATATTTAACATTATTTTTTTAAGGTGTATTCAATATCCTATGGATATCCACTAAATATATCAAAGTCTAGGCGCGAACGCAAACCGTGGTAGATATCCACTAGATGTAATTTATGGATATAATATGTGCCTAAATATCAGAAAATATGTGAATTGATTTAATAATTATTACAATATTTAAATATTACGCCATTTGATAATTAAAGTATGGTTTATAGAAATTTAAAATTAGTGAGTTGTATTCAATATCCCACAGATATCCGCTAGATAAATAATATTGGCAATGTACGGTAGCGTTTCATTTGATAATTTTGAATTATAAGCATGATTAAAAGGAGGTAAGTAAGCTTTAAAACCTAAATTTATTAGTGTAAAAGGTTGATAGACTTTAGTTAAATAAGACAATGGTTAAATTCACCTTATTAAGATTGTTAAGTAGGTTGTATGCAATGTACGTTAAAATCCGTGTCCTTTTTAGGTAATTCATAACTAGAAATTAGTAGCGCACATGGAAATATTAATTATACCTTGACAATATTATTGAGGTATACGTGTTCAAATAAATCATCAAAAAATATGTCAGATTGGACACTTTATCAGCTAGATGGTTTAAATGACAGTGTTAACATTTACCTAAACAGATTAAAGTACATGTTATTCGTTATTCTACAAAAATAAAAGTATGGTGTGGTAAAAATGTTTCTAAAATAGGTCATGGAAAAATCGAGCATGTCCAAATATACTCTTTTTATTCTCTTGTGTATGACAATTTGTATTTCGTTTAGAAACGTGTGTAGTTATTAAGTCTTTGTCGGTCATGGCCTAATTTAGAAAAACATTTTTTCTCCCATTTCACTTACTCCGTTGTTGATGAAGGGTTCGGATGTTCGATAAATAAACTAGTCGGAATCAAGATGAGAACAGTATACACTACTAACATAATAATTAATAATAATATTTTTATCAGATAGTATAATTTTAAAGCAGTTGCAAGGGCTATTAGACACAAAACCCAAGTAAAAACTACATATTCTGGATGACGACAATCTTCATCATGATTCATTTGATCAGTTGTAGTAGAATTGTCATCTACAACTACACCAGCTACTGCATTAGTTTTATTAGATTTATGGATATCTCTTTTTCTTCTGTTAATTAGAGTTTGTTTCGTTTGTTGAAGTACGTTCTTCCTTAAATTCTTCAAAATCGATGTCGTTTTATTGCTGACTTTAGATTCCACATCCTGCTTTAGATCTTCCCAACAAGGGCCGTCGCAGGGTTTGTTTTCAAAGTTAAGAGTAAAGTTATTGTTAACATTAGCTTGCACTAAAAAATTTAAAATAATGGTAGGTTGTGTTCTGCCGTACTTGCTATCAGTTAAACTTCGTTTCAGCATAATATTAGAGTTATCTTTTGAATCACTCGAATTTAAAGTGTTCTCGTTATTTGGATTAAAATTAATCAAGTTTAAAGAACTAGTCATTGACATGAGTATGATAACACCACAAATAAACGCTGTCCTTCTGGTTCTTTTGTGCACTAGCGTTGAGGACATTTTCCGTAATGTTTCAGGAAGTTGGAGGAATTCTTCTGCCATTACTAGAACCGACGTGGCGATTAAAATTAGAGTTGTTAGGACAATGCAGATGATGACCAAATTGAACCTAAAATAAAAATGTTATTTAGAATCTTTTATTTTTCAATGAATAATTTGTAAAACAGGTAACACTGATAAATATAATCAGGAGCCTATTTCATAAAAATTACTTAGGTATATTATTAGTAAATAATATTAAGACTCATAAAATAATAATATAAGTTGGCTGTTTTCTGTTTCACAGATTATTTTAATGTACACATATTATTAGTGACAGAATCTTTTCTAATATATTAGCAGCATGGCAGCTACCTACTAGATCTAGTGTCCTTATTGAAGTTTAGTCAAAAGGTAGTATTTTTTAATTGTGAAGTGACATTCTTATTGAAATAAAAGATGCCTAAATTAAGCAAAAGGGAAGAAAAGAAAATGAAAAATAAAAACGTTTTAAGAAAAATATTAGAATTAAAGAATGAACTTTTTGGTCAGTTTTCTACTACTATTACCAAAGAGTCACGGAAAACAGCATGGATAAATGTAAGAGATTATGCTGTTTCAATAGGTCTAATAGGAAGCGACAAAGAGTTTTGTTATGTACGCGACGCAACTTGGCCTAACCTAAGGTCCAGAACAATGGTAAGTGTTATCTTTATTTATAATACGACTACATAAATGCAATTATTTACTTTAATTGTATTTCAATTGCATTCTATGAGTTATCGCTAAATTTAAGAATAAGTTTTTAATACATAATGCTTTAACAAAGCTTATTCAACATTGGTGTGTCTAAATAATGGAAACATTGTAATAAAAATCCATCACATTAGAGCCTAAGGTGTATTACATCTTTTAGTACTGTAAAACTTCTGATTATTTTTTAATTTTTTTATAACACAGGTCTGCAACAAAAACATGATCTCAAATGTAATCAGTAATTTGTACAAAATTTTTAGTGCTGATTATGGGAAACTATTTAAAAATATTCCATCAAGCTGTTATATTTTACAAGCACTTTGGCCTTTATAGTTATGCATTTTTTCAATATTCTGTTGTGTATAATAGGTAAACCATGCCATCTTTTATCTGCTTATTAAAATTTAAAAACTTTAGCGTAAAATTTAGTTTTTTACCCAAAATACACCATTCTTGTGAGATATTCTGAGGTGGCCGAAAAAATTAATTTTGTTTTTAAAATCAGCACTAAAAATATACTATAAATCAGTTATTTGGACAATTTTAAAAATATTTTTTGCATCCTGTGTAATTATTGCTAATAGTTTTTAATTTTACTATTGAGCCGTCCTCACTTGTAAAGCATATAAAAGATTTTTATTTGATTAAAGACAAAAATTGACCAATCAAATAAAACTGGCGCACCAGGAGGTCCCGAATCAAAATTAAATGACACTGATAAACTAGTGATAGAAATAATTGGAAAGGAATCTCCTGTTGTTCAAGGAATTGGCGTACCCGATTCAATGGAAATTGTTTCCGAAGTTAAAGAGATTACCGAGGACTTTAGTTATTCTATGCCCAATGAAAACAATGATAATGGCACCACAAAAAGCAAGTGCTCGCTTCAACAAAGTTCATGTAGACGTAAGACTATAAAGTGACTAAAATTATTTCAAAACAAGTCAACCTAGTTTCTAATTCAGATGATTACATATATTATTTTTGTAGGTAAGAAAAGAGTTATCGTTCAGCAACCAGATGATGCTAAAAACATTCAATCTCTTAAAATAAAGAAACTTCAGCTTGAGGTTCGGAAGTTGGAACTGGAAGTTTGGGAAAAAGAATGCTCACTCAATGTTAAACATTTTATTCATACTATGAATATTGGGTCCTCCAACTATATCAGTGGTTGCGAAACACAACTGGGACAGGTTATGATTGTAAATTCTACTGATTGTGATGAAGGGCAGTTTATTTATGTTAAAGAAAAATAATGATATTTTAATATCTTTAAAAGCATTATAATAAAACGTATGTTACACTTTTATTTATTTTATTACTATAAACTGATGAAAGTTTAACAAGTAGCTACTTTTCAAATGCCTACCAATTTATTATTTTGCAGAACAAAAAATATATACAAAATAAATTTTCCACTATGCTAAAAAATAAAATGTTTCCTTTACATTTATAGATATTATTTCAGGCATTCCGAAAGTGATTATAAAAGTAATGTAATGTTTCCTCGCCACCTGCTTCTCTAGCTAATTTTTCGCCGACGTCTACCATATCAATGTTAATATCATTTTCTTCTCTATTATTATACCTCTCAACATGTACTTTTGTTAAATTGGAGAGTACAACGCAACATTTTATTACCTCGCAGCCAAACCTGGGTTTCAATCTTAAATGGTTGAGGCACAGTTTATAGCTTAAAAGAATCAGTTCGCTCACTCGGACTAATTGGATGTTCCAAAATAACATCCACTCCAGGGATACAAATTCAGGATGCGCAGAAGACTGCTGTTTGAATATAGGCGGTTGTCATATATTGTATTAGGCATTCCAAACAAATGAACTGTCAGTGGGAAGATTTGATATATCCAAGGGTTGCGACATACAATGTTTTCTGTTTACAATACGTAAAATCATGAATAATGGATTACATTTAAATATTTTATGTCAAACACAATAAAAACAAGATACATTTTTTTCATAAATTGGCAGGCTTTGTGACTATTATTTCGAATAAAAAAAAAACGTTCAAGATGCAAGACTATGTCTCTACCCCCTTAGATATACCAGACCTTCTCACTGACAGCTATTGTTCGACAGGTCGTTGGAATCCTTAATTGGTAATAGTAAGAGAGCCCACTGCAAATTACGACCGCCATCTGATAACAAAATGAAATATGCTCCAAAGACATGTAACAACATTGTACTTTACCAAATTGCTCCTGTGCCAATCTGTAATCCAGAGCAAAAAGGTTAAAAAAAATTATTTTATATTCAAAAAATTACATGAGACATGACAGCGATAATTGTGTTTTCTCTGAAAATTACAATCCTTATTCATTGTGAACCTAGCTTTTATACCTGAATTATTAATATTTTTACCTAACTTTGGCAGAGATAGTCAATAATAATTATAAACTCTTGTTAGACAATTCTTTTAAACTATAATCATAGTAGTTTTTTTGTCGTTTCTATGACAACCTGTAAAAATGAATCACAACAATAGGCATACAAATAAATTCTTAAATCAGCAAAAATTGATTCATATTTTTAATGATTTTTACCTACTAATCGTGTGTAGATGTTTTTGTGCGATGTTAAGAGGAAAAAAATGTTTCCCGTTAACGATATCAAGATATATTTGAATATGTTATTATCTGGAAAACTTAAGGGCAAACAAAATTAGCGCTGTCATGCCTTATGTGATTTTTTTAATATAAAATATTTTTTTAAACACTTGGGATTGTCACAGGTGCCATTCGGTAAAGTACAATGTTTTTACAAGCTTTTGGGGTACATTTTATTTCATTATCAGATGGCAGTTCAAATTTACAGTGGGCTTTTGGGCTATTATGATTTGATTCCGTATGCGCCAGGGATATAAATCCGAGTTGTGCAATGTATAAACTGGAACATTGGGTTCAAAAGTGCCGACGCAGAGTGAGCGAACTGATTCTTTAGCTATAAACTGTGGTTGAGGCATGGGAATTTTTCTTTCAAAATACCAATGGCACATTCAATAACTCGCCTTGTACTTTTGTGTGCTCTTAAAAATCTTTGTTGTGTAGAATCTTCTGCATTACGAAGTACAGGTGGTATAAGCCAAGGCTTTAAAGGATAAATTGAATCACCTAACAGTACGGCATTTGGAAAAGGTCTCCAACCATCTTCCATTCTCCAAACTCGTGCATCGCTACCAGGCCAATTGGCATTTACATAATTAAACTTCATTGTTGGATCACATACAAGCAACACGTTCAATGAATGATTACCATGATGATCCATAAAACCAGGCTCATATTGACTTGGAGCGTCAATGTTAATTAAAGTTCTGTCCACTGCTCCACACACACAAGGGGCATTCCAGCCATTTCACTAAACCCATGAATTACTTCAGCCACATCCACTGGCCAACAAACTGTTTCGTTTATTAAAATTTGATTAATACCATGCATACTGCAACACTATGGTACTGCGTGCCACTTCCAATCCTTCAATTGCTGCTTGACTGTAAGCGCATGATATCTTTGAGTATCAGAAGATAAAATATGTTCTATCCGTTGCAGTATTATATTAAAACTTCCAGTAGGTAACCTAAACCATTCTTCTAAATGTTCATATGAAATTATCTCTCTGAAAATTCTCGGTCGTCTAACTACAATTCTAATTTCATAGTCACTTGAATCTGAATCTGAATATTTATTTTAATCTTATAAAAGATTATAATGCATTTACAACTGTATCCAAATAGGTTGTTGAACTTATTCCTAAAACCTTATGGTCCGCATATGGTTTTACTTCTCCTTTTGAAGAAAAGGCATAGCACCGTACGAGTATTGCGAACAAATAATGAACAGTAATAGAAGTATACGACCATTAAGTTTGAAGTGCGCTGAAAATTTAAGTTTCACGGAATTTCTTTTTTTTTTCAAGTGATCCGATGTATACCTTTCGTAAGTCAAAGAAAAAAAATTATAATTACGATTTACCTAATTATACAATTTAAAAACAATTAAAGGCCAGGTCAACCAGTTTCTCAAATCAAGCAGCAGTCCACTCCATTTTATGTTCGGAATCGAACCAATGCCCTTAAAAAGGTGTTAGATGTACTTTTAAGACACCCACCATGCTGATATTGTATATCTTAAGGAACTTTCAATAAGAGCAAAGTACACTTTTTTATTTTAGTTTGGCGTAAGTATTTTTTAGTTGTTTAAAGTTATTGAGTATTTTTCGTAATTTTTTTACTATGTTAATAATATGACCATCCTATTTTAAATGCGTATCAAGATAAATATCTAAATATATAACGTATTTTACAGATTGGATTCTAATTGTGTTTCTGGCTAGTAACCGTGACCGGTTAACCAGTTAACCGGTTCCGTAGGACCAAAAAACCGTTACAGAACGTAACCGGTTTATAACCGTATAACCGTATTTATGTGTACCAGCCACATCAACTTCCAGTGAACGGGTGTTTTCCAGTGCAGAAAACATAGTTTCGGCAAAAAGAAACTACTTGCTGCCGGAAAACGTTGATAAGTTGATTTTTTGCATCAAAACTCAATAATAAAAAAGGCAGTTTTGTTATTAGGTATTTGTTATTATTTCTTATTTTATGTTCCAATTAATTAAAATTTATTTTTGAATGTTTTTTTTTTCACTTGAATGTAGTTTATGTCTTTTAGTTTTACCTACTTACTCACCCAGTGGGAAGTGTCCTTTTTTTAAATTTTTAATTAAGTTTAGCAAAAGTAAAATTGGTAGTATTTCTATTATTCTAATTTAATTTTTATTTAGTGAGTGCCTATTTAAAAAAAATCAAGCATGCTCTGCCTGGTTGTCACGGGTAAGGAAAGGAAAAGTGGTTAGTAAAGTGACCCCATTTCTATTGAAAACAAAGGATTTTATGGATGGGTTTTGCCACGATTAAGCCGGTGATAGTTGCAGTTAAACCAGTAACGGGTAAACCAGTGACGGGTTTAACTGGTCACGGTTACGGCTAAACCGCCGAATCTGGTCTAACCGGTCCGTTTCGACTGGCTTCGTTTGATCGGACCGGTTAACCGGATAATCTGACCGGTCGAACGGATATTCGGGCCGGTTAACCGGATAATCGAACCGGTTAACCATATATCCGGATATCCGGGCCGGTTATAATAATAATAATAATAATAATAATAATAATAATAATAATAATAATAATAATAATAATAATAATAATAATAATAATAATAATAATAATAATAATAATAATAATAATAATAATAATAATAATAATAATAATAATAATAATAATAATAATAATAATAATAATAATAATAATAATAATAATAATAATAATAATAATAATAATAATAATAATAAAATCCGGTTAAAACTGAAACCGGTCAAAATCAGTCGAACCGGTTAACCGTTTATCACGTCAGGAATTGACAGCCTTAATTGCCAATAATACTTTCAGTACTGTTCTGAGTAAATAGCAAAGCGCCCATTTGGGGTACACCATATTTTACATATTTTTGGTCACTGTTATTATTGCCTACTTTAAATATTTTAAAATTTACCTTAACATTTTCTTCTGACATTGTCTTCGAGTAAGACACTGATCGATAGTATTCAAATGATAACCCCTTTCAAGTGATGTATGTATTTTTTCTGTTAAAGTTGGAATAGCATCTTCTATTGAGGTTTTCTCTTTGAACCCAAATTGAGTTTTGAAATAAGGTTTTATGTATTAATAAAACTATTCATTTATCTTTTTATATATTTTAACAAATTTGATCTTGAATTAATTTTCCATTTCCTTATGTTTTTATAAATAGTTATCCTTGATTATGTTTTATTGTGTCAATGTTCTCTATTTTGACATTTGTAGCAGTTGTTTCTTTAACAATATGTTTGACTTCTTTAGTCTTATTTTTATTTGACTGTATCAATGGTTATTAATAATGTTATTTCGTTTTATGAATTAAATTTGCTATTTTATCTTTACATAAGCGATATTGATGTTTTGAATTTATATATTTTGAATAAATAAATAAATAAATAATTCTTTTCAATAACTTTTTTTGAGTCACGAATGGTAAGAAAATCTGTATTAGATTAATGTATTTACAAATTCGATAAAGATAATAAACATTTCAAAAAATCAGTTCCAAGAATTCTTATTGATACAAGAATCGAAGTGTGAAAATTTTTCAGTTATTTTTTCCCATTCTTTGGTATTTTTTCGGAACAAATACTAACATCTTGGGTA